GTGAGCACAGCTTTCACCCAGCAGTCTCAGCGTTGATAGTGAACGTACCTCTGCCATATTGAAAGACTGAGAGAGGCAGAGTCATCATCCAGAACTGCAGTAGCCACACTGCTTACCATTTTTAAATGCTCCTTATAGCATGTGATCAAACCGGACTCTCTGAATGTGGCTGTTAATGAAGGCTGACTGAGAAGCCAAGGACAATGGCACTGGATTTTGATTCTACTGCATGGACTGGCTTTGTGGGAGCCCGGTTTGTTTGAATGCTCACCTTCCTAGACCTGAATGGAGGGGTGAGGACTTTGGACTTCCCACGGGCAGGGAACACTGACTGCTCTTAGGACTGGAGAGGGAGAGGGAGGGAAAAGGGAGGTGGGGAGGAGGTGGAAATTTTTAATAAATAAATAAATTTTAAAAAAATTAAATGCTCCTTATCAGAAAAGCATTTCAGATATACAACAGGACAGATTTGGACATAAAATACCTCTAAACGAGGCACAGTGTGTTTAAAAAAATGTATGCAAGCTTGGGAGAGAGAGGAAAAAGAGCATAGACAGTTATAAAAAGAAATAAATAGTTTAAAAAATAAAATAAAATCTTTAAAGAGAGAGCAAAAATAATATTAAACAAATAAATCATGTTTTAAAAAAAGGAAAATACACAGAGAGTCTGGATTATGTACATTATTGTGTTTTCTTTGAATTTCTTGACTAGAAAGAGACATTTGCTGGGGGCTGCTAAGCTAAATCTACATATATATTTTAAAGGCATCTTGACTTCAAAATTTGAATCTAAGGATATGTTACTTTGGAAAAGAGATATTGTTTTTGTTTTCACAGAGGATGGGAACCTGTTGATTTCTTCCAGACTAAAATGGTTTGATGAAACAGGATCCCCTGAAAAGTCTCCATGAACCCTCAAAATAGTTTGCCCAACAATCAGCAGGAAACAGTTTGGAGAAAACTACATCGAACTTCTCAAAATGATTGTTTATAAATGTTTGTTTTTATTTTAAAAGAGTTGGTTATAAATGGTTAATGGTCACAGTCAATTTCTTAGAAAAATAAATAAATAATGAAGATATGATATAGAGATGAATACTTTGGTATGGATCTTGCTCTACTGATAGGTTTTTTTTTTCAATACAAGTCTTTTATTGTTCCAAAAGATATGCCAAATCATTCTTTTTTTTTAAAGAAGAAAGTTTATTTTGGGTTATATTTCCAAAGGGATAAGGGCTCATCATGGCAGTGAAGCATAGCAGCAAGTGGCAAGAATAGAAACTGAGGCAGAAAGCAAAGCAGCATTGTTTGTCATAGTCAGAACCTGGAAACAACCTAAATGCCCCTCAAACAAAGAATGGATAAGGTAAATGTGGTACATTTACACAATGGAGTACTACACAGCAGAAGCCAAATCATTCTTAAAATTCAGGATATTGTTTCTGGAGCTGGTAACTTAGGTCTTACTCATCAGCCTGCTGCACTGTTCTCTTTTCGGACACATAGATACCATCCAAAAACTTTCTGATATCCTTGTTTTTAACTGGTATGGCTTGCTGTATCAAAGCCACTGAGTTTGAAACAAGTTCAATATCATTTTCTTCAAGGATTAACTCATTTTTCTGGACTTGAGAGACAGAACAAGCAACGTCTGTCCTCATCTGAATACTGCAGAAGTCGTTTTTACCCAAGAAATTTTGGATTTCAACCAAAGACCCATTCTCCTGAATAACGACATTGATGGGGAAGTGAGCATACACAGACCTCATCTTGTAACGGAAGCCCAGCGTAATACCCTTGATCATGTTCTGAATGTGATTGCAGATGGTTCTGACAGCCGCCAGTTCCTTTCTGTTACCTGACCAATCCAGAGCCTCTTCTTCTTTCCAAGGAGACTCAGCTCTACATTGATGTGATTGAAGTCCCTCCAGAGGGTTCCTCTGGGGCTCTTCATAATGACTGTGTGCCCTTCAGAGTGATGTCTATATTTTGTGAAATGCCATCAGTCTGATTGCTAAGAATGGTCTTCATCCTCCAAGGAGATGGGGCAAAGAGAGAACCCTATTGATACAAATTTAAGGTTGATTTTGTTACACTGTGTATATGTATTTCTACTCTTGTTTAAGGTATTGTGTTTGTGCAGCTCATTTAAAAATATAATGTATAGTTAAGAAATACAGATTAATAGTCATCTATAATAATCCAACTTTTAATTATGTTAGTTAGGTTTTCTAGATATACAGAAATATATTTCAGTTAGACATAATTTTCCACACTTCAAAGACCTACAGACTGTGGCATTTAAGATGTTTTAAGAACTTAGGCTTTTCTCGACAATGCCTGATTCTGGCAACACCAATTACTTCTGAGAGGTTGATGGACATTGAAGAAACTCGTTATGAAATAGGCCTTCAATGTGACAAGACTAACCATTTGTGCAAGAAACTGCTCTTGCATGGACTGCTTGATGGTATGCTTTATAACCTGGACATGCAGCACCCACAGAAAAATAATTGCTGAACTTGCCAAAAGAAGGTGAGACAGTCCTTCAGGGTTCCTGCTTCATGAACAAGTCTGCCAGATGTTCTGCAGGACACTAAAGAAACTGACAATTGAGGCAAAACAGTCTTTCAGATTCTCTGCTTCATGAAAAAGTGTGCTGAATACTATGGGCCTGTAAACTGAAGATGGTTGCCCCAACATTCAAGAAGAATTTTGGGTGACTCTTCAGGCAGCAAGTTGTCTCTGTCAACCCCAGAGTTTTAGAAGTTGCTTACAATGCACTCCCTGTTTACATAGGCAATAGTATATTCTTCTGGGATCTTTGATGGAGTTTAAGACAGATAATTAGTTATAGTTTTCCTTAGCTATGATAAAAGATAAGTTAGATATAAAACTTTAGACTCACAAAGAAATGTAGTAACTGTAATTCTTGCTTTTCCCTATTTTGTTATATGTAATCTTACTATGTTAAAGTCAAAACCTTCCTTTTTATTTAGACAGAAAAGGAAGGTGATATGGGATTCCCCTCTGTATGCTATGAATATGTTTTATTGCTATTGGTTAATAAAGAAACTGCTTTGCCCCATGGCAGTGCAGATTACAGCAAGGTGAACAATCCAAACAGAGATAGAGGAGGAAAGAAGGCAGAGTCAGGGAGATGCCATGTAGCCACCCAAGAAGCAAGACATGAGGTAACAAACCACAAGTCTCATGGTAAAATATAAAATAATAGAAATGGGTTTATTTAAGATGTAAAAGCTAGCTAGGAATATGCCTGAGTCATTGGACAAATGGCCTTGTAATTAATATAGCTTTTGTGTGATTATTTTGGTCTTGGTGACAGAGAAATGAAAAGCACAGTTTCTGATTACAATGAATACATTCTCAACGACACTAACAGATCTACTAGCTTAGATACTGGTCATGTACTTTGCAAAAGTTAATAAATGAGTTGCTATATAAGTTAATAAATATTTTTAATAAATATTTTCAGCAATCCTTGAAAAAATGCATCAACTTCTTTAACTTTAAGTGAAGTCTATGTACACAAAATACATGTTAGGACAAAACTTCATCTCATTTGTTTACTATTTGTGTGTGTGTAAACGTGTATTGCTTGCTTTTGTACACTATGTGTGCAGTGCCCATGGAGGCCTGGAGAGGTCACTGGATTCCCTAGACCCGTTATTTGAAACAGCTGTGAGCTCCATGTAGGTGCTGTGAACCAATGTCCTTTGAGAAAGCAATCGGTGCTCTTCAGAACCATCTCTCCAGCTCATCTCATTTTAAACTGCAATGCTTACCAAGGATTTCCATAAGATTTTGTAAACTGAAAACAATTATTGCAAAACACACTCACATCTTGTTTAAAACTATTCACTTATTGCTGAAGCATAATTTGTGATTTCAGTCATTCCAGACTTCACTGAGGAAAAACAATGGGGATAGGTAACATACTTGGGTCCAAAACAATAAGAAAAGATAGGAGTCCCTTAGCTCTTTAGCCCTGTGGTTGTATGCTACCTTTAACAGGTTTGATTGGAGAAAATAGTCACAACACATTGATATGTAAATGCTTTCAGTTTATTTTACAGATGAGATTAGTTATTCCCAAGCATTCATAAAACAAGTATGCAGTCAGAAAAAAATGAAATAATATGTGAATAAGCAGATTTGCAATTTTATATTTCATCTCCATTAAAACCCCCTTGAGTCTAGGAAAGGGGAAAATGGCCCCCAGGAGAGATGCTTCTCTGATAAAGAGCTGTTATCTTTCAGCTCGCTAAGGATAAGGGAATCATTTCTGCAATTGTGTCAAAGACAAAGCCGTTCATTTGTCACCACTGCTTACAGCATAGCCTCTTCCATATCAGACATAAAATACTTCATTTTACAACGGAGTCTCCTTTTCTTTGATTATCTTCCTTCTGGGCTTTGCAGAAAAAAAAATAAGAATGATATTCTGACAATAACAAATGACACTAACTTTATATTTTAAGAGGTACCAATTTATGATTAAACTCTTTTATTAAGGATGTCTGCATATTTATAAAGTACAAAGTCATAGGTGTTTAATGATAAATCATTGTGCCAAATTATTGAGTTTCTTTGTTTATTTCTATATTTCATGTGTGCACATGCTTGTTTTTCTTTATTTTGCTTTTTAATTTATTTGATTATGTTTTATGTATATGGGTATTTATCTTGTCTGTGTATATGTCTGCACACCATAAGAGGGCATCAGATCACATGGGACTACAATAACAGTTTGTGAGCCACCACGTAGGTGCTGGGAATTGATCTCAGGACCTCTGGAAGAACAGCCAGTGTTCTTAACCATTAACCATCTCTCCAGTCCCCTATCTATATGCTTAATGTGTATGCTTATGCACCTGTGCATCAGGTGTCTGCTTCACTCTCTACTTAATTTTTTTTCATATTTTCATTTCTTTTTGAGAATTTCATACATGTATATAATGTGTTTTGATTATATCCACCCTTCCTTCTCCCATAAACTTCATGTGGCTGTCTCCTCCTCCTCCTTCTGTCCACTGAATCCTTGTAGTGCTTCCCATATGCATATAGACATTGGGTCATCCACCAGAGCATGGAGGTCATCCACCACAACAACTGCACCCCCAAAGAAAAATTACTCTGTCTCCCAACAGCAGTCAATTGCCAATAGCTTCTCAGCCTCATGAGGCCCTCCCCCAAGCATGTTTGATTGTTGATTCCATCCCCACATGCAGGTCTTGCACAGGTAATCACAGCCTCTATGAGTTCCTGGGTGCGGCGGCCATGTCATGTCCGGGTGACAGCATTTCACAGCACTCTTCTCAATCCTCTAGCTCTTGCTTTCTTCCGCCGTGTTCTCTGAGTCCCATTAAAGTGACTCATGGTCACTTATCCCCAGTGGGAACACAAGTCACCTTTTTCTCTTTAAAGTCCTGCAAGATGAAAATAATTGATAGTTACCAATTGGATCTTCCAGTCTGGTTCTTCAGGGTACATTATATCCTGCAAAAGCCTTCTGGAGGTCAGGTGGTCCACACAGCCACTCTCACACATACATACATACCACACATACACACACAGGCACAATTAAACTCAACATAAACAATGAGAGAAAGAAACACAGATAGAGGTACACTTGGATATTTTTATTTTTTAAGGCATAAATTAAACCAGTAAGAGGTTATTTCACAGGTTAAACCAACTTTGCCTTTGTCACAAAACAAAGCTCAAACAGAAACAACAAGAAATATGAAATACTTAATGTGAACACATTTGTTCTGATAGTTTTTTGTTGACTTGACACACACTAGAGTCCAAAAGGAAGAAGGGAAAGCGATGAGAAAAATGCATCCACCAAACTGCCTTGTGAGCAAGCCTGTGGTGCATTTTCTTGATTGGTGATGGATGTGGGAGAGTCCAGCTCACTGGGGAAGTTGAGACCACTGGTGGTACCCGCAAGAAGGCAGAGAGGGAGTGGGGGGGAGTGGGAGGGTATTGGGAGGAGGGGAGGAAGTGGAAGTTTTTATAAATAAATAAATAAATGAAGAAAAAAAGGCAAATTGATCAAGTCAGTAGGGGCAAGGCAGTTAGAATTCCTCCATGGCTTCAGTTCCTGTCCTGACTTCCTTTGCTGATGGGCTGTGATGTGGAACTCTAAGCTGAAATACACCCTTTCCTCCCCAACTAACATTTGGTCATAGTGCTTTACCACATCAATAGAAACCCTAAGACAATAATAAAACCCTTGGTTTTATTGTTACCACTATAAAACCAAGACAACTGTACTTAATAGAATTCTATATCTCAAGATAATTTAAGCATATGCTTTACATCGAGTTTTAATATTTGTGAACGACTTTTGAATCATCCTTGAAACTCTCATTGTTGAATATGCTACTCTACATCTAAGGAGATTTTCACAGAGATCAAGTCAACAGACACACAGTTCCTGCTTCACCTTTTCACTTCTGTCGGTGGCTTTGCTCTGTGAAATGTGCCCCTGGCTCTTTTATCCAGGGCTTGGACTTCAGCTTATAGCACACTGAGGGAAGGTCTGGATACTTATGAAAGTGGGTCCTAGCTTCAGAAAGCAGATCTTGAAGGTTAGATCTGCTTCCTGGTCCCCTTTGTACTCTGCTTCCTGTCCAAAATGAATTGAAAGACCTTTGTCACACGTTCCTGCTCCACAGTGTCCTGTCTCACCACAAACTGGCATCTCTGCTGCCAATGAGTGAGGTCTGAAACCTCTGGACGTGTGCACTGAGATTGCCCCTTTATCTCTTAGGTTGTTTATGTCAAACATCTTGTCAAAACAAAGGCAGGCAGTCCCCAAATAGATTAATATAAAGCATATATTAATCTAGTCACCTGACAGTGATGTTAGAATACAACCTGAGGTATAAGAAATTCCTTAAATCTAGTCCTCAGACTTTACATCATAATTTCATCCAATTATCAAATTCATAAAATGTAAATTGGCACAGGCTTCCTAAGAATAAAATGCTCTAAAATTATAAGAAGGACTGCAACGATATTTAATACCATAAAATTCTATATGCTAGTTTCATACATTCAGTTATGTTAACTTTTCATGGGAATGCTTAACAAAAATTAGTTACCCCTGATAGGGCATCAAGGACAGATCAAAGGGACAATGCTATCAACCCGGGTGAATCACTGAGAGTACTGGACCTACTTAAAGGGATCATATATGGTCCCCGAAATGCTGTGTCATAGAAAAGTCTCGCTCCAGCACAGGTGATTACCCCCAAAGCTGATATGGAGTGTCGTTTCATTTGACCTTCAACCACCTACCTATACGGTCCAGCCAACATTTCCGGGATCACAGGCACGTGGGTAGACATACACACAGGTGGGAGAGGAGGTCAGGAGGGAGGGTCCGATGACCTCCCCACCTCTCCTACTATAGAGAAAGTAAACTGTCTCTATTTCATTAGTCATCACGGATGCTCCTCGGAGAACATGACTTCACAATGGCTGCGTTATGTCAAGAGGGGGGCGGGCACAGACGCATTGAATTCAGCAATACCGGAGAAAGTTTTCAGGGAAGAATAAAAAAGGAAGTAGCAAAGTGAGGTCCTCAGAAATCAGATAATGCAGCCTTGCCAAGACATTTCCAAAGTTTTATCCCTTCTGCAATGCTCTCAGGGTTCTATGAAGCGTAAGTGTCCAAAGGGAAGCAGAGCATGACATGGCAGCTACGTTACCGGAGACTAAGCAGGTGACGAATTCTTAATGTCTGCAAATCGTCAGAGGCCAAACGGCAATTGAGTGAGTAAAGCTTAGGTGTGGCTCCACTGCTCCGGGGAGCAGCGATGGCCAGTTCCAGACAGAGAATGGAGGGCAACGGGGCAGACCTGACAACGTCAGGACAAGCCCCGCCCCTGCCCCTGCTGCCTGCACAGGGGTTTGGATGGCAGCAGCTTCCAGCTGTAAGTCCTTCTTAGATAGTGACACGGAGTGAACAGCACTAAGTCTCTGCAGAGATTGTGTGTGCTCATTTGAAGGGGTAGGTATTCCAGCTGGTCCGTCTTTGCCCTCTGCACTGAGTGGTATTGCCTGAGATGCTCAGCAGGAGAAATTAAAATACAATAGTGGTGCAAGAGGTTTCTAGCTGCCGCCTCAGATGAAGGAACCAACTCCTTTTTTTTTTTTTTCTATTTTAAGAGGATCATTTTGCTTGATATAAACACTTAGGTCTCTATATATCTTTAAACACTCACAAAATTCAGAATGAAAAAAATCTCTAAGCAGCCAAGTTGACCCTAAATTTATACAGCTCTCAAAATAGAAAAACTGTGTTTTCTTATCTGCTATTGACTTGGGAGTGCCTTCTTCTCATCTTAATCTTTTCGGGGCAAGGAAGTGAAAACATCAAGCTATGTTTTTGAAATGTGATTACCCATAGTCCAGGCAACCTCTAGAAGGAAGCCTAGGCATGTCTTGAACTCTTTATTTTCTTGTCTCAACCTGCAAATAGTAGGGATTACGGGTCTACAGCATCACACCCAGCTCCCCAAATGACTCGTGCAAGCTACTTCTTTCTATAAATTATTTTTATTATTATTCATATTTGTGTGGGGGTTTATGTACATGTGTTTTTTGTATGTGAGTGTGGGGGTATGGTGTGTCCATGACATGGCTCACATGTGAAAGTCTGGGAACAACTTCAGGGAGTCAATTCTCGCCTTACAATGAGTTTGGGGTCACACTCAGATCTCCAGGCTTGTGCAGGAAGCACTGTTATCAACACTACCATGTTACTTTCCCCACGTGACTTTCAAAGTCAATATATTATCTGTAATAACAATGACACTACGTGATTTTTTTTTTAAGAGCCACAAAAAAACATCTTTGTGCTTCTCACTCGTGGCCTGGAATGCTTCATTCATTCAATACAATAAATAAAAAAAAATGAGTTCAAAGCTCTCAGACAATAAACACCTGACTTTCAAAAAGGTTTTATTTACATTTAAGTGTATATATGTATGTGCCACATGTGAGTGGGTGACCCTGGAGAAGAGAAGAGGGTGCCAGATCCTCTGGAGCTGGAGTTACAGACAGCTGTGAGCCACCTAATGTGGATGCGAGCACCCAAACTTGGATCCTCTGGGAGGAAGGACAGCAACCTTTCTGAACTGCTGAATCGCATCTTCATCCCCACACATGATCTTCTAAAATGAATGGCCAACAAGACCTTGTGACTTCTTGCAAAATAAAATATCACAAAATATCTGTTCATTCTAAATTGCAATAATAAGTGAAATTCACCCTTTGACCTAAAATTCAGACCAACCACTCTTCACATCATAAAATGCAGATTCTTTTTTGCTCCTACTGCAGAGGCTGAATCCACAAGGGGAAATACCTTTCCTGACCTAGAGGCATGAAACAACATGGGGAGATAGAACCTTTCCTGAACTTCTGCTTCTAATGGTGGCTTCTACACATGAAGATGACATTTGTTATAGCCTACCTTTTAAATTCCTTGTGGTCACAGCATCCATCAAAAGCAAATTTAAAGCATATAAAACAGGTGCAAAACAGTCCTGTCTGCAGCATTCTCCAAGACAAGGAGTCATTTGTCCATCAGCTGGTCTATGCAGACTTATTCAGGCTATGCTGAGAGCTTATAGCTGTTGATGACCACCATTGCTCTCTATGGAAAAGAACCATTCTCTCCCATGTTACCCTTCACAAACGTACTGAGACACACAAAAGACTTTAGTACCAATTGTGTCCCTTTGGTACACTTGGCTTCCTCTAGATTGCTGCTATCTGAGAGAAAAGTGGAAGAATTGTTTCTCTTAAGATTTATTGAGTCTTCCAGCAGGGTAGCAGGAAATCACAACCCTGGGGTTGACCATGAAGTAGGTCAGTGATAGAGCACTTGCCTGGCATAAACAAAGCTCAGGGTTATCTGATGCCACATAAAAATAGACAAATAAAATACCAGTCTCTCCTAGGAATCCAAGAGAGAGTAAAGACTAACATCCGCAGAAGTCAGCCCACATAAGAGGTAACTCAAACCTCTGCGGGGTTCAGGGTTTCCTGAAAACTGGTGTTCTCATAGTTCACTCATGGGCCCCTGACTCACACAGTCGTGACTTTTTAAATGGGCTTTGTTGCCAGGGAGGTAATTGACAGCTTTGCTGCCATGTCTACAGAATGGAGAGAAAACATTTACCTTTTGACTGTCCCATGAAACGACTGGACTCTCATTTCCTGGAACCAGCCAATAACGTACCACCTCTCCCCCTTAATTATCATGCAGGACAAGGCTCAGGATAGCCCCTTCTTTTTTCTACATGCAACTTCAGCACCCTCCCCATTTTCTTAGGAGAGTGTTTTCCTTTTGCGGGGCCCTCCACTGCTCTATGGACTGCAGAATTGAGGCACTCCCATGTTTTTCTTTGACGGAAACTTGTCACTGTTCTGCACTCACTGCTGGTTAAATGTACAAATTGGCTTTCCCACCATTTGCCTTCCGTCACCCACTCCTACTGGTCCACCTCAGGAGCATCAAAAGATCATCCTGAGGCATCTACCCACATGTCTCTAGGCCTCAGCAGTGAGAATGAGAACTTCCTGGGCTAAGCTACAGACATGCACACCCTCCAACCACAGCTCAACATCTTCCTTGGCCCTTTTGTAATTTCTTGATTGATTGTCTTGAAAAGATGACATGCTTAATTAAATAGTACTATGGCTTTCCTAGTCTCTAAGTACAACTCTCATTAGCTTACATTAAACCAGTTCTATATAAACAAATTTCCTATTAGCTAATAAAGATAATGAGATTCAGGACATTGCTACTCCAGAAATGACATTTGGTATATTTGAAGAAGATGGCAGAAGTAGGAATGTTACTTTGAAGTTTTAGGACTCTCTGAAGCAAGACATAAAACCTGTTATTATTCTGATGTAGGTTCTAAGACCTTTGGATAAGAAGTGCCTTCTCAATGCCCAGAGAAAATGAGCATCCATATCTCACAGGACACAAATAAGAATCTGAAAAAGCTGACATTGCGAAAGTCTCCCCGACTCCATACCAGATTCCCTGTATAGATCAGACACTCTCCATTAGTTACTTTTCTGAAAGCTTTGGCCAAATACCTAATAAGAAACAATTTAAGGAAAGAAGGGTTTCTTCTAGCTCACAGATTCTAAGAATACAGTTCACATACCACATCATGGTGGCAAAAGCCTGAAGTGGCTGGTCACATCGCTCCTGCAGTCAGAAAGCAGAAAAAGGACAGGAAATAGGGACCGGATAAGAAACCTCAAGTCTTAGCCACTTCAGTAACAATAAAATCCCACCTACTGCTCACCCCAGTTGAGAGTCAAAGTTTGGATATATGAACCTATCAGGGACATTCCACATTCAAACCATGATTCCTGTTTCTCTAGTAATTCTGTACAACACTCAATATTCCTCACCAGACATAGAGTTAAAATACATACATACTCAGTGACACAGGCCTGTAATACCAGGTTCTTGGGAGACAGAAGCAGGAAGATCCCAAGTTCAAAGCATATAAGGACTCCAGTGGGGGTTCAAGATTTGCTCGTTCAACTTAGCAAGATGCTCTCTCAAAATACAAATGTTTCAAAGAACAAGGATTACTGTTGTGAAAATTATGAGACCCTACTAACTGCACTGTGTGTGTGTTGGTATGTGTTTATGTGTGTATGGTATGTGTGTTTACAAATAATGTATAAGTATGGGGAAGAAGCAAGAGTATAGAGTTCAGAGGACAAATCTTGGGAGACAATCACCACCTTTAACTCCTTGTTTTTGCAGCAGGGACTCTCATGCTTTTGTTTTTGTGATCACCAGGTTAGTGATCCTTGAGCTTCCAGGCAACTGTCTCGTCTCTGCCTCTCATTTCCTATAATAATGGTGAGATTACAGATGCACAGTAAGACATTGGAAACTCAAGTTATGATGCAAAATGATAAATGTTTATTTTCTGATGAGAGAATTTCAGACACAATTGAAAGTTCTAGAAACACGATGATGAGGCAACCCATGGACTGCAGAGATCCTACAAATAACGCTCTCTCCTTCCAGAGGATGAGAATTTGCAGTGTTTCTCAGCCCCCTTCACCTTAGCTCCTGCACACAGAAGACGCTGCTTACGTTTGACGATGAACTGGTTTGGGATGAATCCACCATCCAACAAAAGCCACAACACTTTTCTTCACCCTTTCGAAAGTTGTTATTTTTGTAACTTTAATGGTTCTTCACCACAAATCTCTCTAATCTACCAACCCTTGACCTGCCTAGCAACAAGACACAGATTCTATACTGTCGCTTTTTTTTTCTTGATTGTGAGCCTAACCTCTAACAGCTGAGTTATCTTTCAAGCACTACACTGCAACTTTTTAAAGCTAAGTTGCTGCCTGCTTTTGCCATTAGGTTTGACAAACCTGGACTTTTTAAATTCATTATCTATCTACAATGATACATAGAAAAACACAATACACAGCGGATTGACTTTGCCTGAACCTGCCTAACACCACACAGAAGGAGACTGATTAGCTTCTTATTCTTAGGAACAAATAGGCTTCATCTCCAGTTTTAATTCACTTTCATCAGGTTCCAGAATTGGGAAAACAGCTTTTGAGTATCTCACTCTCATCCTTCCAGCTGCCCTACCTGGTGATGACGTGTTTCCTGCAGACATTAAACAATTGTCCTTTGCCCTAGTATTCTGCCAGCTCTTCAAAACACAGTTATTTGCTGGTAAAACCAACTTTGCAGCTATATGTTGACCAATTAAGCAATGTACGAAGAAGTGTGTTTTTATGACTCTGAAACAAAGCTCAGCACAGGACAGTCAGCAGAGGGACGTTTCAGTATCTGAGATGAAAATGACTCAGACAATACTGCTCATTTGCTGACTCAGGCAGACAGTGGTTTTGAGCACAGTTTCAGTAGCTAAGGGGTCTTCTATATTTATTTTTGAACTTTAATGCATATCCATGGCATAAGCTGTTATAGGCCTCAAAGCCATGGCTGAGGTGGGTTTCATGACCAAGAAAAGTTAGCCCTGGCCCTGATTAGCCCAGACATGACTGCTTTCACATCAGGCAAACGTATCTCCTCCTAACAGGGTAACTATTGCCTCTTAGACAAAAGCAGCATGCGGGAGGCAGGTCTGGGCCAGTGAGGAGTCAGCTCAGGATAAGGAAGGAGCTTTCCTCTGCCCAGGCTGAGTGATTCACTGATCCTCACATAACAATGGTGTTTGGGACTGAGGTAATTGTTCCCAGTCTTGCTAAAGTATCTCTTCACCTGGTTGGCAAGTGGACAGAAGTTAAAGGCAGGTTAACATAGAAACATAGAAACAGAGACTCAGAGTTCTAATATAATAAGCCACAGAAGGCTGAAGGGAAAAGATATATTGTTAGTGGTCTTAAGCTCCATGACTGAATCCCAAGTCTCTCTCTCTCTCTCTCTCTCTCTCTCTCTCTCTCTCTCTCACACACACACACACACACACACACACACACACACACACACACCAGTC